GGGGCCAATAAAAATAAATAAAAAAAAAAATTCTTTTTGCTACACCTGCCCGATTTAATGTGGCCAGTGCATTACATCCCATTTTTTATATTTGTTTTACCACATCTTGCATTGTTACTGGCCAAACAGTATGGTTTTGTCCACAGAACCAAAAGCCAATCAAAAGTCAAGAGGAAGATATGCGTGGTCTATCTATATTACATTTGTAGTTCTGGGGTTTAAAATCAGCTGGTTACTCCAAAATTGACCAAAATAATCCAAAGGAGATAAATTACATAATTTGAACTTGACAAATTTATTAACCACGTTCTCACAGTGTACGTGATAATAAATATTTTTTTGTAATAATGTCGAAACGTTTTCTACTCTCACATTTTTAATTTAGAGCCAGTGATTTCTTTGGGCATATATTTAATCTTAGGGTGATAAAAATTAACCTCTACTATAACTGAAAACGTGTAATTAGAGAAATATTTATGATCATTGAACAACATCTTGTCGCAAAAATTGCTACTATGTGCAATTAGAAACGTAATATATTGTTGAACGGAATAATATTATAAAAAATATTACATGATTGTTAGAATTTTTGTATTGACATATAACGTAAAGTAAATATCTAGAACGATTATTATCGACTGGTAGATAACAAAGAAATTAATAAGCAGTTAGTAATTATTCTTAAAAAAAATACATATTTATTATATATATATAATGAGAAAAATATATATTATTTATTTTCTACAGATGGGAGGTCATGACGCACATCATGGTCCACCATACCAAATACCCAGCCATGATATATATAAAGTGGAAGATGTACCAGAATTAAAACGTGTTCAAGAAGAATTAGCTAAGAAAGGATTGAGGGATCCTTGGCTGAGAAATCAAGCGTGGCGCTACAAAAGAAGTGCGTCGCCTTATATGCGCGGATTAATATGTTTAACGAGAGGCTGGAGAATTGCTATACCAGCATTCCTCATAACTATCGCTGTTGAACAATATTTTGGGATCGATTACTCAGGACATGGACATCATGGGGACAAACATGGAAATGGTCATCATTAGTGTTCGCTTTGGATATTAATGTGGTATAAGAATGTAAGAAATAGTAGAGTGTAAAAGTACCTAAATAAGCTACAAAAATAAATTATAAAAGTAATAACTATAATGTATTAGTTAATATTTGTTTAATTAATTATTGTTTAATTTTATCTTGGTTACATTAGGAATCTCTTGTCCAATAATGATTTGTTGCAGAGATTTCTCTTAACGTTGGATCTAATGATTATTAAGAATAATTGCGATATGACAACCGTCGCTATACAAGCGAAAATGTAAGAATTATACAACGCCAAAAAGAAGGCAAACACTGTGATTTCAAATGTCACTAATAACCATTCGTTTCCATGAAGCACCACTTTGTTGAAGGAATAATTGTTATCTGTAAAAATAAAACTAGTTTCATTAAAACGACAATATCTGCATTAAATTTTATCATTAAAAATCTGTAATTTTCTAGTACCAATATAAAAAACAGATTTGTCTTTGGCATCTACAAAAAGAACGTCCCATAATTTTTCTAATATGTGCTGCTCTTTGATTATATAATCTTCATTTTCCAAGCAATGATCTAGAAATTGCATTAGGAAGAGCCTAATTTTTGACCTGGTTTCAAATAATTGTTTCCAATGTCTAGAAGGTGTGTCACTTCCTTTTAAAATTCCCACACTTCCCTGTGCAAAATGTATCACAAACTGTACAATAATCATTTTTTAATTGTATGGTGGTCTTATTTTAAAACAGTATAATAATATTCAAGATTTTCTCTTTTATAGGCATGAAAATAAATGAAGTGTTATTAACAGTCGTACTTTTCTACGAACAATCTCATACATACGTTATTCTTTTGTCTCATGAGTTCATCATATAACGATTTAAACGAATGGGTCAACGATAATATAAAAGTCTGGTCCGTTGTGCCGGGTACCAGGCCTCTGTGCGCACATAAATCGTCTTCTTCCTTTTTCAAATCGTTTATCAGGGTAGGAAGGTCAGTATCCGCAAATCCATGTACTGATCTATCATAAGCAATATTATTAATTATCTCTTTCATCTTGTAAGAAACGCTTAAATTACCTTCCATGGATATAAAAGCCATAATAATTGTGTGCGAATATGAACACACTAATGTTCGCGATCGAGCATAGATCTACGAACTTCTGCAGTCTGTTCCTAATGTATCTCTCGTAAAACGTAAAACGGACGAACCATTGTAAAAGATATATAAATATGTACATGAACGTGCAAATCGCGAATTGCAGCGTAAAATTGTTCTCCGTTTCGGAGGATGTATTTGCGACGGTCGATTCTGGTATCACTAACATCCACGATTCCAAATCGAATATCTAAAACGATGTAATTATTCAGATTTTGTTGTGTTGCGGATGAAATTAAATTTCTTTTTTGTGTCAGCTAACCTGCAGGAAACACAGAGTGTAAATCGATTGCAATGCTACATTTATCCTTCTTCTGGTTTGCAATTTGCACCACTCGTTTGCGATGAAGTAGGTTCTCCAAACGCTGATCGGAAAATCGTGTACGTAACTGCGTTCGGTTGTCTCCTGCAAAGGCGACCTTGCGATCGAACAAATGGAAGAAAAATCTGGCGTGTATTTTTCAATCGAAGAAGACTTGGACATTTCACTGGGGCTCGTGTTCCTGTTCGTCTTGTGTGATCTTCTCCTTCGCTTGGACGCGATGACGTCCGATGTTACTCTCAAAGATTTACCCTCCCCCTTCGGAAATCTGTTGGAATACAATTTCTGTAAAGAAGTACGCGGAGAATCGTACTTTGGTTGATCGGGTATCGTCCTCGGTTGTTCCCAGTCGATGAAAAACACGCTCAAATCCCAATGCTGATACACGAACCCTATCATTTCTGCAATCTAAATGAAAGAAACAAAAATGTTGGGTGCTTAATTTTATGGATCCTGCCCCGAATAGTCGAGAGGTTCAAGTTTGAACCCTAGCTGAGATATTTTTCTCAATAAATTCTTTGCAGTATGCTATTAGCATTGTGAAATGCAAGTTTTATGAGGTAAATTGGATTTCTGTTAATTAATTAATTTTAGATAAAACATTATGTTGCTTTACTTACTTTAAAGCTAAATGCTACGGTAATGTATGTTCGGATTTTTCCTTCGCTATCTTCATTAGGAAGAAGAACGTACGGTACAGTTTGGGCTTTATAAAAGATAAACAGATACACGCATGTACAAATGCACACAAATGTAATTGCGTTTCCAACCGCACCCATGCTGTAGATCAGGAACCACAATAACACGGCTATACTAAGATTGCCGTCGTGATTATGCTTATAATAATTCCACGCCTTGACACCGGAAAATATTAATGCTATTCCTGTAAATACTCCGACAGTTATCTAAAAAAGAAAAATATATATATTTAGTATTTAAAAGAAAAGTAAAACACTGTAATACGAATTTTTTACCTGAACATCATAATCTATATCGTTATCTTTCAACACAAATGCAACTTTGTAATTTATTGTAACATCGGAATTATTAAGGAAATCTTGATACATTAGCTCATCGTACTCCACAATCAAAATGGGCGCGAAGATCTTGCCGTGATCTTTTCTATTCTGAACGTTTATTCTGAAAACAAAATTAACAATGAAATTAACCACAAAAGAATTTGTAACGTAAATTATTTGCGTCTTACAAGATAGTCAAAGATTTCATATAACGAAGCACGGAAAGTTCTGATGCCTTTATGAATCCGCTGTGTATAAACATCGGTAACGCTTTGAAACCGCTTACATTGTCGACCAGAAAGAACTTTCGTACCAATTGCTGATGCGAAATTTCCTTAATATTCTATAAAGCAAAAAAATTTAATTATTTTATTGTATAAATTTTATCATTATTATCATTATTATTGAGATCTTACCTGATCTGGCGATTTAACAATCACAGGCAATGCGTGTATAAATGATCTATTGCCCTCTCTAAACGCTAAGTAAGGAGATAGCAATTCTATTTGTGCGTTGAGTAATTCAACAGCAGTGGTTTTGCATTTTTTGCCGAAATTTACACCGAACCTGACATTTCTCAGAAATTGACAGGGTAGAGTCGGTCTACCGATGGACAAGAATTTGCCGTTTAATGCAAATCTTGCGATCGTAAAATCCAGGACGGTATTCTGAAAATATATATACCCGCATAAAAATATACTACTAATGTCACTAGTGCAATAAGTAAATTCGACAAGTGGTGTCACTAATAGTGTAATAGTTTCACAATAAAATTTCAGTGAAATATTAATGAAATTTTCTCCACCACTATTAGTGACACCACTTTGTACCGTACATTATCCCCTTTTCTGAGACTATATCTCTCGGATATTCTCGTATTGTTCAACACCGCCGCTGCGTCTTGTTTATTATAAAACAACCATACGGGTGTCATGGGCGTATGCATAAAAAACATGCAAGCTATACCGTCACTGTATAGAGTCAGGGCGCATATGTTTGACAAATGCTCGCATTCCATTCTGTCTCTCTTCTGAAAGCCGTCAATCACAAAATCTTTATGCGCTATGCAATTGCTACGCATTTTGATAGCATCGTAATTATCGTTATTGTATTATATTATATTCTTTCATGTTTTTGAAGAAGTCTAAGATCATTATTCATAATCACGGTTCTTTTTCTTAAGATGTCTGGAGTCGCCTTTGGAGATATTATATACCTATTTTCATTTATATTTTAAATAAATTATGTGTACATATGAAAGTTGTGTTTATATCCTTAATAAGTAATGTCTTAAGATATTATTAATGCGGCTTTATAATTGACTTATGACATCATAAGACTATATTTAAGACGGTCTTAAATATAAGAAATCGTCTATGAATACTGATCTAAGATCTTTGCGCGCAACATACTCGTCACCTTGCAAAGGTGTGCCGCGACTTGCAGTTCGCTTCTCAGATAATAACTGTCGACGTGTTCGCTACGGAACTTCATCAGATATGTGCCTCTGATATCCGGCCAGTCAGTGACATCGTCTTTGTGCAGACAATAATTTCTTAATCTCACGTGCGTTGCACTCGGGCACACGCAATTAATGTGGCCGCTGTTCTCACGGCTGCCGCACGGCAAGCATTTGGAACAATCGGCAGATGGATACGTGCCCTGGATGCACGTTACGCAGAGCACAGCATCCAGCAGTGCGCCATTTATATTTCGGTCAACTGCGAGCAAGGGTACAAAAAATGTATGCAATAATAGATTCCTGTATGATAAAAAATGAATAGAATATAGAATTAAATTTTTATATTGTGTAGAATTGTGTACATATTATAGTTGAATAAACTACAGACGTTACAATTATAATTAATAATTATAAAATAGTTTATACAACTACATACATTAATTCTACATATATAAAATTTATAATCGTCAACTATATAATAGCCACAACTCTGTTTTTCCTCTGAGTATAGATGACATCTCATATTACTGTCATCTTCGAACGCGATATGTCAGCAAAGTGGCAAGCTAATGTCAAAGTGTTAGCTAAAATTATTTATTGAGATTACGTTTTATTTGGTTCGAGGAACATTTGCACGGCGCGTTCGGGAGCAGGACGCAATCCTTTCCGTCAGTGGTCGCGGTCATGTTGGGACCGCACGCGGCGCAAAGTGGATTGCCATTTTCGAAACCGACCATTCCGCTTAATTCGTCGCACTGGCATCGCAGACCTGCGGGAAACACACGTGGATAGTAGAACAGGCGAAACAAATCGCAAACAGCGAGCGGATAAAATCAAACCGTGCACCTACGGTCCGCGGCCGGTACGAGATTCCGGCTGGCGTTGCATCGCGAGCAGGACAAGGAGGCTGTATCGAAGTACTCATCGTATTTGCACGTATCCGGATCCCAGTACTCGAGCACCCCATTGTTTCCGTGGAATGCACTCGCGAAATTCGCGAAAATAATTGCAATCAACGTTAGGCGACGATCGTGGCCACCTCGGGCG